TTATTATTCATACAAATTATTAAATTTTTATCTAAAATTTATATCTAAAAAGTTAAAAAATCAAAATAAAACCACTGAAAATAAGTAAAGAGATTATTATTTTATATAAACTCATTTTTATATATATATTTATCCCTTCAATAGAACTTCTATAGAAAAATGCATACTCTCTAACACATACAAATAAATAAAACTTTTTCAAAACCACATGAATATTATTTTCCGGGTGGTGCTATTCGAACAACTTTTTTGTCTTACATTTTTATACAACTTTTATATGTTATTAAATGAGTAAATACATTTAATATCACAAGTCTAACATGAATAAAAAAATCAATAATTTTAATGATACATTAGATTATACAAAAAAATAAAATAAAAATATTGTACAAAAAGCATTTACCTTATTTTATTTAACATTTATAAAAAAAATTACTTTCAAATGTTTTGGTGAGTTCAGCCATTGCATCAAAATAATGACGTCAGCACAGCGCAAAAACCTCTTCCTTAAAGAAACGAAAACACAATGTTGTTTTTGCCTCTTTTAAGGACCAAAATAATAATAATAATAATAATAATAATAATAATAATAATAATAATAAAAGAGTTGGTCTCTTTATAGATGAGAGTTCCCATTTTTGTTCTTTCTTAAAGAGAACATAGGAAAGAGCTTCTGTTGTATATTCAAGTTTTCTATTTTTCCAAATTGCTTACCAAGTTGTAACGTGGAAGACCATACCTCTAATTTTTTATTAGAGAGAAACAGAGAGATTCATTAGGAGATCCTCCATCCTTAGCTTAGCTCACCCAATCCATTCTAAACTGGGAAATGTTGAATGATCAACTTTCCTGTTCCATACAATAAGTTAACCTCACAAGAAAAGAAGAAAAAAAAAAAAAAAGCCCATGGGAGATCTCCACTTGCAATTTAATTAATTTCTATAGAAGTTATCGAATTAGAACAGAATTATGGCCAAATACACTTTGTACTCCCAAAAAATATATTTTTTTTAATATCAATAGATAATTCTTCATTCATTCATCATTTACTTTCGTTCCATCAATACATGATATATATTTTTTTTTATGAATCAAAATTTATTAAAAAAGTACAAAAGGTACTCACCCGTACAAATGGGAAGACAAGAGTTACATTTTGTAGTCTAAATGCCATCAGCACAAAGATTTAAAAATTGACACCAATCACCAAAACTAAACACTGCAGATTTTTATTTTCCTTTAATCCAACAATACATGATATATTTCACTATACATGAGGTGGACCATGTGTCCAACACAAAGAACACTTATCAACAAGCACTGCCTTAGCAATCCAATCTGTTACCTAATTATTGACTGCCCTTGAAATATGAACAAAAGTCCAAGAAGTAAACTCTCTGTTGTCAATCTCCATGTATCTTGCATCATAGCATCGATTTTCCATGGCATCCCTATTTTCTTATTTATTATATTTATCAATTCTAGACAATCTGATTAATAATTAAAATATCCTAATTTTTAAACCATAAATGAGATTATTTTAATTTTTTTATGTTATTTTATTAAAATGATTTAATTTTAAATACTTTTCACCTTTTTGCTTCTGAAGTTTTACTGGATAAACACTATTCCCTTATCTTATTTTAAAGTAGGGCGAGAGAACGAGATTTTGTTAAGGCAATGTTACATGTATAATGATTTTAAGCAATATTTTTTTATTCATAATCAAGATGCCCTTGACTTAGTTTCTCGTACTTCGAGATTAATTTTTTAAAGTGACATGCCCCTATATTTGCTTAACACATTTTAAAAAATTAATTTTTTTAAAAATCTGCTTGCAACTTACTTATTAGTAAGGAATCTAATCAATGAAGTTGGACAGACTCCAAATATAATGTTTTGTATAATATGAAGTGACATAGATAAGTGAATACATTCAAACTAAAGGGTAATCCTAAATAAATATAATTAATTATAAAATAACACTTTATATTATACTTAATTTTTTTTTTGTTTAGTAGACGGGTATTTTTAAATAAGTTTGCACATACTTAAATCAGTTTGCACATACTTCAAGACTAATTCATTTTTGATCATTCGAGGACAAACAATCCATGTTATAATTAAAAAATTCTTAAAAAATTACTTTTTTATCGATTTCAGTAAGAAATCAAAACTTAGTCAATAAAATAGAGAGTGAACTCCTTTATTAATTAAACCACAAGTTCTTAAGTACATTATACTTAAATTTTATGTATGTTTATCAAAGTAATACTCTATCTAATTGAATTTAGTTATTCTACTTTATCTATGTATGATTATTAAGAAATTTATTTATTACAATAATTAAAATTTATTTTTTTATTTTCACTCTCACTTAAAATTAAATTAAAAAAATTTCTAATACATTTCTATCTCTTTAGATATAAG